CGTCTTTAGAAAACACACCTACACATTAACAAATACATTCAAACACAACCAGGAGGTTCTTCCTACAGATAGTTGTTAGACAGCAAATAGCACCGCAGAGCGAAACAGGTTAAAGGAACGAAACGCTGCAGCCGGACTCACACAGGAAGGAACCGGGTCGGCCTCCAGAACCTCACAGCCAGTCCGCCTGGTCGTGTCTACCTGCCGACAGGTGCCACACAGGTGTCTTAAAGGGACGGTAGAAGGCAGCAGCAGGTACAGCCGATTAGAAGTCACTGATCGATGAGCTGATCAGGTCCTGAGCTGATCAATCAGTGGACACAATAAACGTCCACGAAGGTCTGACTGCAAAGGTTCTGATTTTAATCAGAACATGAACGAGGAAGCAGCTGGTTTGTGGTGATTTCACGTCTTTGTGGTTCGTTCTGCATCAGTTTGTTCTAATTTTCTGTCTGTCTGTGTTTGTTTTGTGTCTCTGTGGTAATAAGTCACCTTTAAGGTCATTTTGTGTTTGTTTCTCTTTAGTTGTGTGTNCAGCAGGAACCTTCAGGCTCTCCTGTAGACAGTCGTTGGTAGATTAAAACAAGCTCTGGTAAGCCACAGACACAGCTAGAGACCAGCTGGAGGAGAAAACGAAACAACGAGCAGCCAAAGAACCAGAGATCTTCCTCAAGAGGTGGAGGAGACCAAAGACGGAGCTGACAGTGAAGCAGCACAGTGAGAACCATGTTAGCCACAGCTACTGTACAAGCTAACGGGACATCAGAGCTGAACAGCTGAGGGTTTTCTGCCCCCTAGTGGGCGTAGTACTCAGAGACAAAGTGTACATGCATTTAGACTGAGTAGATTGTGGATGTGTGGGTTTCATCGTATTGACGTGAATCTTCAGTGAACTAAATAAAACCTGTTTGACTCTCTGTCGTCTCACTTCTTTACATTCACCCTTTAAAGCAGCTTCACCTGTCACACAAACAGCTAACAGAAGCTAACAGGAGCTAACGGGAGCTAATAGGAGCTAACAAGAGTTAACAGGAACTAGCAGGCGCTAACAGGAGCTATCAGGAGCTAACAGAACCAAATAGGAGCTGATAGAATCTAACAGGAGTGAACAGGAGCTAATAGGAGCTAAGAGAAGCTAACAGGAGCTAACAGACGCTAATGGAACC